ATCAGCCGAGCTTCTCTCACATGTTTGTGTTCACGCTTTAAAGTTCTGCTTCCTGGAAGCTCAGCTTTCACAATAAAAGTTTTTCCTCTCGGGTTGTTTTGGATTTTTTACCAAAATGTGTTACTGAGCTTCATGGACATGAACAACTTTTCTGAATAACGTAGTGAAAACTCAAGTCACAGCATCTGTTTATTGCAGCTAACACAGACTCTAGCGCCACCTTCTGGTGGCTCCACGTTTATCTGTGGCAGCACAGCTGAAGTTCACCTCACGTTGTGCACATTTTCAGGCAAACGTTGCAGGTTTTAAAAGCCGTAATGTTCAACAGTCATCTGATGCTCTGATCCTATTCTTTTTTGGAGGTTTTCACTTTTCAACTTTAAGAGAAAAGGTCCGTTTCCAGTTCAGCTCCAAGCAATGCTCTGCTTCCAGACGCTTGTTTCCAGCGTGTTGAGTGGATATTTGAGCTTTATCGGTTATTTGTGAAGCAGCAAACAATGAGCTCAGTAAACTGTGTCGGTGTTTATCTGCAGAAACAGAAAGCTGAGGATGATTTGGTCTGTCGGTGTTCGGCCCCCCGCCGGGCCAATCAGACGATGTTGATGCGAGTCGTCTCCTGCAGCTCGCCGATCGGCCGGCGTGCCGCAGAGCCTCCAACACACAGACAGCTCACACTGAGGCCGCCACCGCCGCCGCCGCCGTCACGTGGTGGCAGGACTCGCCGACCGGCTGCTTCTGGAGGCTTCGCTTTAGTTTCAGGTTCACTTCAGGCGCCGCCGCCCTCACGGCGCAATTACAACTTTGGTTTCCTTGTTTGTACGTTTCCTGCGTCTACCTCATAAACTTTCATGAACAACGTTTACGTGACGTGGACTCAAATGCAGAGAAGATTCGCTGCAACATTACAAATGATGAGCAGGCCGAGGTCGAGACAACGGCGTCCAGACGGTCAAAGGGGAGCAAAGAGGCGCTCAGATTAAATATTCATGTCCAGCAGCAGCATGCAGAGAACAGAAAGTACGAGACCGAGAGGTTTAAACCTCAAACATCTGACTTTGTTCCGTTTGTTTTGAGTCAGGTTTATTCAATTCTGCTCTGCAGCTCAGTAGAAAGCGTCTGCTGACATAGAACGGCGTCGCGTGGAGAATCTGTGAAACGTCATTTTACACGTAGATTTATCGTTCAGTGGTTTCAGCTTCGATTCATGTGTCTGTTTATTTTTATCTTTATTCTTATTATTTAAATAAATGGATCCTGTTCATCAGCAGTCTGTGTTAAATGCTGTCAGACGTCCAAAATGAGTCATTAAAGGACAATATGTAAAACCTGCATTCTGCTTAAACAGACACAGAGATCAGGAGATTCATTACCAGATGTCTATAAAGACAATAAGGAGCCATTTAATATTAAAACGATGCTTAAATACATGACAGGATGAAGCGTAACCGACGGCTGATGCTCTGAAGGACAGACAGTCGGCTTAAAGTCAACCTTCAGCAGCTTCATCAGCAGCTTCAGTGCTGCAGGTTGCAGTCAGAACGTTCCACGGGTTATTCTGAGCCGCCTGGTGTCATTAAAAGCTCATTTGTCCGTATTCTGGTGAGATGTGCTGCAGACGTTACAGGGTTTGGGTTAGGAAGGTTATGAAGCTTCACAGCTGCATGTTTCTCGTAAAGAAACCCTTTTTTTTTAACTTATTTTTTTGGCCTTTGTGCCTTTATTGGATAGAGCAGTGAGACAGAGACAGGAAGGTGGGGAGAAGAACAGGACGTATGGGAAAGAGCCATGAGCGGGATCAGAACTCATGACCTCCACATGGGGACTGCAGCCCTGCACATGGGACGCCAGCTCAACCAGGTTACCAACCAGGTGAGCTGCAGCGGCGCCCCCTAGTAAAGAAACTCTGGGATCAGTTTTTCAGGATGACGCTGTGCAGACTCCAGAAAGAGTTCTTTGGACCTCAGTGTCTCAGAGATGACACACGTCAACCTGATGTTAGTGCGTTTATAGCTTTTGGCTTTTTATTGATTTTAGCAGCCATTTTGTTTCAGAAGAAGACTTCCTGTGACTGCGTCGTATGAATCCAGTGGTTCTGTGAAAACGGGGAAATGCAATATTATCTTCAGCTGAACCTCCACATGCTCGAACATCTCCTGATCATCACCTGCAGGCGGGACCAGACTGATCAACGCTGTGCTCTGAGCTCAGCGTCTGGCAGTCAACACATGCTTCATGAGTTTTATTCCAGGTTCAGGTTCGGGTTAGATTCGACTCCTACTGACGGTGAATCGGACCGATCTCAGACAAAACAATGTGTTTTATTGACTCAGTTCTTCTCCAATCGACTCCACCAACACACATGATTTGGTTCTGCTGCTGGACGGACCAGATTCTGGTTTTGCTCCTGGACGGACCAGATCCTGGTTCTGCTGCTGGATGGACCAGATTCTGGTTCTGCTGCTGGATCCGGCTCCGTTCGTCTCCCCAGAAGGACGATTTGTCATTCAGAGAGACTCTCGGCAGAGCGTCGTCCTCCTCACTGAGACTCTTCTGCTGCTCTCTTCACTTCCTCAATTAGGCAGCTCATCCATCGCCATGATTACATGCTGCTAATTAAGCAGCTAATCAGCTAATTAGCAGGAGCAGAGAGGAATGAGGAGAGTGTGTGCAGTTAACACAAGGTGTCATGTGCAAAACAGCACAATCCACTGGGAAGGAGGTTTTCAGAGGTTTAACAAAGTCTATTTATTTCTGTGATTCGTCAGTTAAATATTTTACGAGACAACTGAATAAGAGTCCCGTCAGCTCAGATGTTCTTCTGTAACTCACACATGTTTACTCCAAACTACTCTCCATTTCAGCTTGAACAGAGCTGCCAGTGTCTGAGAGCAGAACAGCAGAGCCGGAGGGGCCGTGAATGATTCAGCTGCATCCTGAACGTGCATTGGATTAAACAGAACCACTGCAGCCGAGGCGTTCAGGGACCATCAGCAGAAAAGGTGCAAAATTCACCACAAACCAACCAATCGTGTGGAGGCTCTCTGTGCTGCAGGCGATGCTGGTCTGACTGCAGGACATGACGTCGGATCTCAGAGGAAGCAAAGGCCTGGTGTTATCTGGTGGTGGATCAGAACTCCTGAACACAAGCAGCTCGATTAAACATCTTCACACAAAGAAGCGAACCCTCAGACGAAGGCAGAGGAGAGGAGGACATTTAGATGAACCCTGATCAGTAAGGAGGAGGGAGCATCTTCTGATGAAACATGCACGGTTGGATTCTTGCTAATATTTAGACTTTTATCTCCTGGTTGAATGTTTTTAAGTTTTTCGTCGTCCTCTAAGTTTAGATGTTGTCTCTGATCAAATAAAGACTTTCAATCTAAAACGCTTCATAATTCACACGTTTTCTTGAAGTGTCTCCATAAAGTTTTCCCTGTTTGCTCTTTTCTCCCAGCAGTCGATCTAAACACAGACGACAAAACTTTCTACATCGGGCTTCTGGTCGGTGGGTCTATTGGACCTCTGCTTGCAGTCTTCACATGAAGCTCACTGATGAGAACATCATTAAGCTTCTCCAGAACCAGAGACGAGTCGGATCATCATTATGTCTGAGTATTAATCAGCTCATCTGATCTGAACAGAAGCAGCTTGATGAGGTTCTGACCAGTTCAGGTCATTGAACCGACCTCAGCCTGATCCTACAGAACCGGAGCTGTCTGGGCCGACCAACACCAGAGACTCTGGACTTTCCTGATCCCTGAAAGGAACCGGGACGAGTCCAAGGCATTTAGAACGTGAACATTAAAGGTGAGGGATGAAATAAAGCTGAATGAAATAAAACAATAAAACAGGAAGGCGGCGGCGCGTCTTTACGGCGCTAATTAACGGAGCGAGCGGATCCCCAGAGCTATTGACATTTCACCATATTCAATATGACAGATATGACTGATTAGTTCACCGGCAGCCTCATCAATAATCTGCCTGCCAATCAAGCGTGACCTTTAGAAGTGAGGTGATAAATTAACGGAACGATCCAATAGCAGCCCTCCGATCCATCAACATGCCGCCGGCGGTGGTGGCGGCGGCGGCGGCGGCAAGGAAATTCTGCTGCGACTGGACGTCACTCGACAGAATCAAAGTGCAGGATTCCTGTTTTATCAGATATAATAAAGTATTCTGTGTGTAAGCTGGTGTCCAGGATCCGCGGCTCGTGCTCGGCTGGACTCACAGAAAGATGAAGAGAACCGAGGAGATGCAGCCGAGCTTCAACCCAACTTAGCGGCAGCATCCCAACCGCTAGCTGGGGCTTTACCGAGCAGGGTTAGCTGCATTTTGAAGACTCACATTTAAAAAAACAAACAAACAGAAACAGCAAAATCTGAATAAACTTCACTTTAAGCTTGAACTTTTTTTAACTTTGCCAGAAAGTTGTTCTGCTCTTTGAGGGATTTGTGACTTTTCTAAAGACGGTCGATCAGCCTCATGAAGGCTTTTCTCCAGTTTGTTGGTTGAGATTTCTTTATACAGCTGCCAAGCAACTGAGGTTTAACCTAAAGACTGCGTCACAACATCGAAGCCAAAAACCTGTTTGTCAAACATCAAAAACACCAGGATCACAGTGAATAGAAGGACTCTGCATCGCAGCCAGCCACAAACAAGGAAACCAGCTGCAGAGACTAAAGCCGGCTCCTGTTTCAGGCCATAAACGGGTTTGAACATGGAGACCGACTCACTGCTGGAGCCTCGACTGGAACATCTCACCTCCATGTTCACGTCTCAGCCTTTGACCTTTGAGCTGCTCGTTCTCAGTTCGAACTAACAGCGACCAGAGCTTTGACTGAAGACAAGAGCTTCATGCTGGACTAGCCCTAACCCCAAGATCTCAAAGGTTTCCTTCAGAAGAAATTAAGAGAACTTCCAGGTTTTGTTGAAGGGACAAACACGAAGGGCTGCAGTAACTCAGAGCCAGAACCCACATCCAGACTGCAGTGTTCATTTACCTCGATCTTCCTCCAGACGTCGGGGTCTTTGTCCCGGCTCTGAATGTCGTCCAGCAGCCGCTGCACCAGAGAGCAACATCCTCGTCCGTCCACAGGGGGCGCCATCCGACCATCCTCCTCCTCAGACTGCAGCTCGCTCAGCCGGCCCGACTCGATGCTTCCATCCAGCGACGGCGCCACGTCGGAGGAGGAGGTCGGACTGAACCGGCTCAGCAGGTTTCTTCTGTATGGAAGCTAGACGAGAGAAGAAGCTTCAGTCACGGGTTCAACAGAACCAGAACTCTGAAGGATGAAACAGGCTGAACCTCACCAACGCCGGCGGAGGAGAAGGAACGTCGTCTGAACTCTCCCCCACGCTGCTCATGGTGTCCACGCTGTCCGCCGGGTCCCAGTTCAGCTCGGTCAGATCCCAGTCATCCACGTCCTGTAGGGTCGAGTCTCCGGGTCTCTGCAGGTCCAACATCAGCTGGTTCAGGTCAGAGTTTACACAGAACCATCATGAAACAGGTACAGAAACAAGAACCAACCGGAGGGATGGACTGAGTCAGACTCTCCAGCTTCATCGCCAACATCTCGGTTTTACGGAGCTGAGCAGGAAGAGCCAAGAACTCCTCCGACCCGTACCAGTGCTGCCGGTCTGGGCTGGTTCTGGAGGAAACCTGGGCACCCTGTGGAGGACCGAGGTGACATGTCATCAGAACTACTGATTTAAACTGGACAATACTGACAACAGCAGCGGGTCACGCTAGCGCTGCTACCGGACTGAGTATTCAGAGCAGTTACTGCAGTAAAAGTACACACAGCAGAGTAAAAGTACACACAGCAGAGTAAAAGTACTGCATTACTCCTTCAGTAAACACACCAAGCAGCAGAATGTAGTTTCATGTGTCAGTTTGGTTCCTCTGACTGATATCAGATCTGATTATTCATGTGAGTGGCTGTTGGAGCTACTGCTCGTTTCTTGCTCGGAGCCGGTTCTGGTACTGGTCGTGTTTTATGTGCTGTTGTTATGAAGAGATTTGAAATAGTTTGAAAAGGTTTGAGATAGTCTCTGGAAATAAGGATTATTATCATCATGACTGTTCTCCAGTGAGACGTATCTGAATAACCAGGGCTCGTTAGGAGACCATGACGCTCACAGACGTTTAGTTGTTTTATTTAAATGCCTCCAGTAGGGGGCGTTTGTTAGAGATCTATACGCTGCCTGAAGCTGTGTCTGTTGTGACCCTGAAGTTTCAGCGTTCACTCAGTGTCAGACCAGCAAGTATGAATACGCGCTGCATGAATGCGATGTGATGCAGCAGAGTACACAAACAGCTCACACTCCAAACAGAACGAGTCACGCTTCACCTTCTGGACCTGGCGCTTCACGATCCAGATGGCCGTCTTGCTGGGCGGCGGTCGGGGGTCCGAGTCCTCTCCGGACGCCTCCAGGTCTGAGGGGAGCTGCTCCCCGACAGGGGAGGGCGGCGAGGAGTCCGACTCCCCCTCACTGGGAGAGTGTGTCTCCTTCCTCCTCCTCTCCATTTGCTTTGGCCTTTCCTCCTCAGACTGCAGGTCCTGGAGAGGCGGGGGGGCGCCGGCGGTCGGTCTGGCCCCAGACGAGCTCCTCCGGCTGGGCTGCAGCCTCTGCACGCTCCCCTCTGGGCGTCCTCCGTGTCTGGAGCTCACACGGTGTCTCCTGAGGTTACGCCCGTTCATGACCTGTGTAGCGATGGAAGTCTGGTTAAAGGAGACGAAGCTGCTCTGGCTGGTTGGACAGAAGCAGTGGAGGAGACAAGAGCAACACGAGAGGAAGACGTGGAATCAGCAGCAGGGTCCGGTCTGATGGACTCAGCTCTACCCCAGACCACTGAACTACAACCACATACAGCTGGGGAGTCTCAGGAGCAGGAAGGACAGAAGACTTCTGGGTCATTCACAGCTAAGTCTGAATCAAGTTACTCCCTGACCTCCTCAGAACCAGTCGGGTTTTAATCTACAGTCACTTCAGCATGTGGAGGTTTGATCTGTTTTCTAATAAATAACTACAAAAAAATCCACTGAATCTCAAGTTTTGAATTGTGCAAGTGTCAAAATCTGCTAAAACACAGAGTGGATCCTGCCTATAGATGGTTCTGGTAGGTTCTGGAGGTAAAACGGTCCTTCCATCATCTAGAACTGGTTCTGACCAACCACCGTCACACACGCTGCTAGGAGCCTGGAAAGTTTACCCAGAATGCACTTTGTAAACTTTCCTCTGGTGACTGATCAGAACCAGAACCACATCCAGGGTACCAATGATTGTTTCTATGACTCTATGTCATAGACATTAAACTGGTACCACTATGAGACATCCCATAATACTGATGCTACCAGCTGCTGGCAGAGGACATGAACAGAACCAGGTCCAGTGTTCAGACTGAGACACCTGGATGGATGTAGAACTGATCTGGTGTCAGGTTCTACCAGAACCCAGATGTGTTCTTCCTCCTAAATGTCATGTGTCTATCTGCTGTACTGATGAAGTTCTAACCCTAACCCTTGACGCTTGATAGTCCGATTTCATTACAAATGTTTTTGTTCAGCTGCTGAAGAAGCTGCAAACCCAGTTTCAGATGTACTGACGTGCTGCTGGTCCGGTTTCCTCTGCAGGTAAACCAGCAGCAGCAGCTTCTTAATGGCACTGAAGCCATAAAGCAGCTCAGCAGCAGCTGCAGCTGGACGAGACCTGCAGCGCTGCAGCTATTAATCTGTTTAACGGTTTCCTCAGTGTTCCTCAGAACACAAACTCCTGGATAATTAACACTGCTTTCACTTTATGCTACGGGCCTCACTCAGAATTATTTCAAATAACTTTCCTCAATGCTTTTTCTTTCATTTCTTTGTTCATCTTCATCAGACGTTGTGGAGGTCGGGCTGGATGTGTCCTGTGCTCCACAAACACTCTGTCAAACTAAAATGCTGCAACAAATGGTTCAAACCTTGATGTCAGGGTCCTGCTTCAGGCATCAGATCAGTTCTGTTCTTGGTAAAAGTTCAGTAGATTGAATCCATCAGGAGTTTATAACGATGAGTGTTTCTGCTGCAGCTGGAAAGTTTCTCCCAGTTTCATATTTAAACGTGTTCAGTGCTTTATCTGAAAACAAACACACCAGTAAAAATTAAAGAGGACAAACCTGCAGACTCTCGTAGGACTGAGAGACATTTTCTGGATAAACTGAGTCCAGTTCCAGCCAGAACTTGGAGCGGTCCGGCGGATCCATGAGGGAGGGAGTGCTGCGGCTCAGCTCAGCCTGGAACTGGAGCCCCGACAGCAGACTAACGTCCCCCAGACCTCCACTGGAGTCCAACAGCAGGGCGGCTCTCTTTGGAAGGGACGGCTGTGTTGGCGAGGCCTCGGTGCTGAGGTTCCCGGGCTGCAGGGGGCGCTTCGCGCTGTCACTGGGGCTGCTGCATTGCATTGTGGGTAACACAGAACGGTTCTGGTTTGTAGAGTCAGCGGCTGTGGAGAGGTCAGGTAAGCTGTTGTGGCGGTTGGATCCTTTGCTCTCCTCAACTCCGGGGTCCTGGTTCAGGTCCTGGTTCGGGTCCTGTGTTCTGGGTTCGGTTCCCAGGACGTCGGGCTCGTCGCTGGGACTGTAGTCACTGAGCTCGAAGGCAGTGATTCCACAGTCCAGAGAGAAGTAGTCCTGACTGCAGCGAATAGTCAGCTGACCGCAGTCATCGACCTCCGTCAGAGCGTCCAGCCGGGTCTGGAGAGGAAGAAACCAGAACTTTAATGGCCTCATATTATCACTGACATTCAGTCAGGTTTATGTTTTACCTTGTACTATCTACTGTCGTCATGCTGACACCACGAGGTGGAGTCTGGAGGGGATTCCTTCACTTATTGTGAAGTTCTTACTAGTTCTTGTCGGTGAAGCTTTTTGTCGCTGCAGAACAATTAATGTCAGCGGATACGAGCCAGCTGGACTGTGTCCTACCTGGTGCTGGTCCTGGCTGAAGGCCTGCAGGATGTCGGTCTGCCGGGTGAAGTTTCCGTTGGAGTCCTGCAGGCCCTGAAGCAGACGCTCCTTCAGAACCAGAACCGAGACTCTGAGCTGATGCCAAAGTATCTGCACGGTCCTGAAGCACAGGAGACACAGCAGCAGCTGATTAATGTGAACTTCTGAACCCAAGAACACACAAGCAGGTTTCAAATACATGTTTGCTTGGGAAAAAATAAAATAAAATCAGGAGAAGGACACCATTCAGCAGCCAGAAACTGTAAAAACACAAAGAATCATCAGATTTTCATGTGTGATGTGAAACCTATTAGGAAAAACACCCAAATGTGAGCTGAAGGTGGTGATGCTGCAATAAAAACAGCTTCATTCTACACGTCCTGTAAAGTTTAAACTGAAAAATAAAGTGTTTGCACGAGACTGATTCTCTACACCGACTGAAAACCCAATCGACTGGATCAATGAATAGATGCAGCATGGATCAGAACCAGAGAACAGAGGAGCCAGTTGTTGGAGATACATTCAGCTGATGGTGGAACATCTTTCCACAGCTGATAAGCAGAGAGGAAAAGTCTGGAACATGGAGATAGTTCAGCATCTGCAGGATCAGGAGGCTTTAAACCTTTACGCGTTATAACTAGTTGGACAGAAGAAGGTTTTTACGGTTTAGTTCAGAGCTGGACTGTAATGAGAGAATGACCTGACGAAGCTCACCTTATGTCTACGATGATGTTCACAGAGTAGGACAGAAGCTTCAGAGAAAACTCTGTCTCCAGCAGAGCATGAATCTGCTCCACGTGGTCCGAGATGTCCTCACAGATGTCCTACAGTCACATAGACCAGAGACAAGACACAAAACATCACAAACTGACAAATATCAGACAACGAGTCAACAAACACACACATAAGTGCTGCTGTGTCCCAGCAACAGCCGTGTGCATGAATGTAAAAGAAGGAACTGTGCAGCAGCTGGAAAAGCAGAAGCAGTTTGACGTCACATTTCCACTTTTGACAGTGAGTCAGTTTCATGTGGGACCATTTCCAGGTTTGTATGTAAAAACATGGAGCGATCCGTCTGTCAGGGATCAGCACGCCTCTTTAATCCACCTTCTAGCGTGTGATATTGCTGAACTAAATCCAGACGCTGTAAAACGCTCAGACAGACGGACTCCAGGCAGAAATAAGAGCAGCTGCTCCAAGAACCACAGAGACTCTTTAAACTGAGGTTCACTGACATGATGAACATGCAGATCACAGTCTGATGCAGTTTAATGCAGACGGTCGCCATAAAATCTGCCTCTGAAAAGCTCCGAAGGTCCAGTTTCTGCTGAATCTGTTTGTGGTCATCGGTGCTGTGCAGGATTGTTCGACATTTAAGCTACAGGAGAACAGACACAGAACGGTACAGACGGTGTAAAACTCTGTTACAGGTACAAGCCATGCATTCAGGTGTTTACCTCAGTAAAAGTACAAGAGGTATTTACATCAGCACGTGAGTAAAGTACCAGAAGTTAAAATATTAACTATGCAGGATGACAGATGTCAGAGTGACGTCACTGGACTCTACCTACTGATGACCCGAACACCAGTGTGTCCGTCTACAAGAACCACGTCCAGATTTCAGCTCTGGACTCACTTTAAAATAAACTGATTTTACAAAATGTCCCGTTTTGGCCACAACTCTTTAAACCAGTACAACGACCTTGAAGGTACAAAAGCATATTTGCTTCTACCTGTGATCATTCACTGAACCCCAAACGACGGACCTCAAACCTGCAACACATCAGGTAACTGTACATTAAATATGACCACATTATGTATTAAACAACATTTATAATCATGTTTTCACTGAAACGTGTTTTAAGTGTTCTGTGCAGGAATTCTTTGACAATACAAAGAAATAATGTGAAGTTGGTATAAAGCAGCTTCATGTTCATAAACACTGAGCAGAACTGGAACGCATCGATTCATTTGGATGATTCAGGTTGTGTTGGCGCTTCAGAAAGTAGCACAAGCTAATATTAGCCGCCCTTTAAACAGGTGACCCGACTGTGAACCTGTCGCTGAGTCACTGCAGCCTCCTGATCCGGCTGGATGTAGGTCAGAGCTGCTGCCAGCTGGACTGGCTGTGACCAACATAACTCTGGATCCGCTGTATGGAGCTGCAGCAGCACGAGGCTGAAGGGCTTCGTGTCACCTGACCTGCAGCGTTACAGCGGTACAGGTGTGAATGTGTCTGACTGCGTTCTGGATCCAGGTAAACTAAAATGTGACAGATTGAGTTTGTTGGGCCAGATTTCAGTCTTTTCACATCCTCATGAGTCCAGCAGTAGTCTGCAGACCAGGACGCTGTGTTTAGGCTTCGCTTGGTCCGACCGACTTCAGACGGACGGACATGTGACCCTGCAGGTCTGCTAACTTAATACTGTGAAATGATTGGAGGAGGCCAAACCTGTTCCTGTGACATACTGGCTGGAGTCTGGCCTCAAGTTCGTTGGTCAGCTGCAGACCAACTTATTTCACTCTTTAGCAATTTAAGACCACATGGGATCAGCAGAGTTCCTGAATCAGAGTGAAGCCTGGAACAGGAGTGACTGAGGAGCAGGAGTCTGTGGACTGAGACAGCATCACTGAGATCAGTGAATGCCATCGCCTGGCTGTTGATGGATTACGCTGCATTGCTTCAGACAAAATGCTCAAAATGAGCATCTGCTGCCACGGATGTGTTCTACCTCTAAGACACCTGGAAGAAACAAAGGGTCAGGCTGAAGTTCAACACTGAGCAGCAGAAAAATGTCTTCATCAGTTTGCTCATAAGGAACAGTTGAGTTTTTTAAAGACAGTCTAAAGTGTTTGATCAAAGAAGCTGTGCTGTGTGTCCAGCAGGCTGCTCTCCGGCTGGTCGGTCCTGGTCCGGCTGCTCTTCTGCTCAGCAAATAAGACTGAACAGGGCACATGTTAACACATCCCGAAACAAAGAAAGCTAAAGGGACGACAGCAAACCCAGCTGCAGATCAACACAGCACATTACTAGAGAGGCCTTCACGACTGAATGCTATCTCAGGTTTCAGTTCCTCCAACTGGGCTCGTCTCTGAAGACGCTGCTGAGCGTTTGTCCCTTCAGTCTGGACATCTGGAGAAATCTGAGGCAGTTTTGGACAATTTTTGAATATTTTTTGTCATTTCAGGCACATTTCAAATGATTCTGGACCATTCTGAGCATTTTCTCACAAGCTGTGTTGCATTGTGGACACATTTCGTAATACTGGATATGCTTTTGTGATTTTGGATGAGCGATGCCGAGTTCAGAAGTCCTCCATCAGGATATGTACGTTTCACACATTTGTCTTTTGCAACAGCAGAACCGAACTATCAGAAACACACAGACAGAAATCAGAACCAAGAGTTTACACTGAACCAACACAAACTGCACACAAACCCTGAGTGAAGCTGAACACACACACAGCGTGAACGCACTCATTCTTAAATCTACAAACACACAGATTCCCTGGATGCAGAAAATGTGTTGAACTCGTATTTAACACACTCAGAGTTTCGTCATCAAAGCGCTGTCATGTCTCTAAAACAGAGAAAATGTCACCGACGTCTTTCACAGCTTCAATAATTCACACACAGCTTTCAAATGCTAATTCAGACACACAGTGAACTGATCCTTCTGACTGCATTAGCGGCAGCTCAGCTTCGTTTGTTAGAAGATCTGCAGACGACAGCAGATAATGAGATCACATCTGAACATCAGCGGCTTTCGCTGTCCTGCGGAACATTTAGCGTCTGTAAATTTAACATCTACAGATAATAATTATGAGGGACAATGTTGGAAATAAGTCAAAAAATTATTGGTATTTTATATTATTTTACACATTTGCTGGGGTGTTTCCTAACTCCGAAAACTAACACTGTTTTTTTTTTTCTTTAGACACGTTTCAAAGCTTCTCTGCATATTTCTGCAAACGTCCGTCTGTCACTTCATGATTTCAGGCTTTATATCGTGAGATAATATTCTACATTTAGACACCGATGATCGCTGCTAATCTGGGTATCAGTGAGTTTTATATGCAGTAAGAAGATTTTATCGGCCACCACTACTTCAGAACAGCCACGTTGTCACCAAAACACTGAACATGGAGTTTGTAAAAGAGCTCAATGCACACGACAAACATGAGCAAAAGTTCACTTCAAGAATTAAAAGGGAAAAAACCACACGTGTGTAAAGAGACTAAAGACGTCGTGGAAAGAAGTGAAATATAATTACTCAAAGTCCAAGAACCTCAGATTTGTATTTGAGGAGAGTACATGACTGGGTACATCATCAGAACCAGGCGACGGTCACCAGTCCAAGATGAAAGTTCAAGATTCAGTTTAATCATCTGTGTTCAGCACAAGATCACATGACTGCAGAAATCACAATGAGAACAGATTATATGGAATAAATACCTGAGATCAGCCCTGTGACGCTGAAGCTGCTTCAGACTTTACTGATACGGNACTGGACGTTCACTGGAAGTTTACTGGACGTTTACTGGAAGTTCATTGGCAGTCAAACGAACCGAGCTGTCAAACTGATCAAACAACAGCGAAGACACACAAAAGGTCTAGTTGGAGCTGAGCAACCACGAAGAAGCAGAAATCTACTAGCGAGAGACACAACCAAACACAACGACAAGTCAACACAAAGTGAACACAACAGATGACATTTCAAAGGAATTGGAGATAAAACCAACACTTTTTCAAAATGGCTGCAAAGACTCACGAAACAAATACAAAGAGAAAAGATAAATGCAAAACAACCACAAAACACACAAACAGACCAGAAAGAAGTTAAAACTAACTGAATAAGATGCAAAAAAAAAAAAAAGGACCGACCGATGCAACACCAACGCAAACAGACACAAAACACACAATCATTCAAAACTACTCAGACTGGGCTCAGACAGAACCAGGCGACTCCAGACTGACTGACGGCAACAAGTCGTCTGTGTTTCTGCTGTCAGTTCAGACTGATGGACAGGAAGTGGAGTTTAAACTTTCTAACCAGCAGTTTGTGTTTCAGCTCAACAACCAACATCTGAATCATTTAGAAACAGCAGCTCTGGGTTCTATTCCTCAACAGTTCTGGTTCTGGACCGGCAGCTGATTTATTCTCATGAATCCTCTGGATGTCCAGCTGCTCTGTTCTCAGCGTCTCAGAACAGAATCCATGAAAAGATGCTAAATCACTACAAGAAAGGCAGAATCACCACAGACTCCCATTAGCTGGAGCTAAACGGCCAGCAGGAGGCGCTGCTCTCCTTCTCTGCTCCTATTTATGGTCACATGTCTGAGGAATTGAAATGGACTTCCTGCACATTCTGGGAATCTCTTCTGTTTTAACTCAACGCAGTCAAACTAAGCAGAATTCAACACGAATTGCATCAAAGCTTTAAAGTTCTGAACACAAAGTTTTTCTGTTCGAGGTCAAACTGCAGAAGCTTAACGCTGCTAAAATGCTTTTCTTGATTTCTTTGAATTTAAAATCCTTCTCTAAGGTTCTTCCAAGGGTTTTTTTTCACCACAAACGTCCTGGTTTGTTAAAGATTTTTCTGGTTTGTTGCTACAAACAGTCTGACTCTTACCTTCCTCATGTGATGCCACCGTTTAAAGGAATTAACTCTCCTTCTTACCTTCTCACAGGCTTTTCTCAGATCAGGATTTTTAATTCCAAATTGACAAATCTGAATCCCTTCCGTCCAAAAGTTAGAGTTTCTCAGATGTGGACGGGACCCAAAGGGTTGGTAGTGAGACTCTTTCTGCCATGTGCTGCTGATCCACAAACCAACAGAGTGTTTGTGCTGCTGACCTGCTTCTTCAGAGGAGGGACGAGGCCACAACAGCTGGAGGTTATTTTAGAAACGCCACACAGCTCACACCCCGACACAGACACGCACCATCAACACTCTTCCAACTGCTCTACATTCATCTGATGGCACTTTCACTTCCTGTCCTGTCAGAATAAACCTTAGAGTCTCTGTCACAATAAAGTCCTGACAGACAGATCTGTTTCTCTTCTGAGGTTTTGGGTTTCTGGCACTGCTGTGATGGACGGGGTTGGTGTATTATACTGTGGGATTTAAATGTCACATGTAAACGTATCAGTAGATTTATTTTGAAAAGTGGGGAAAGTGTCAGAATAAGTTTTAAAGTTCTTGTTGGTCCAGAGGTGACCTCAGGGTTCATGTGCCTGCTGCCTCCTGAATGAAACCACTTTAATAAACACAACAGTCACGTCGATCAGGTTCAGATGAACATTATGTTAAACTAACTGCCCTGAGTTACATCAAACATGCTTTTAATTATTGGCAGAATAAAACATTTCAAGTTTATTACTCGTAAATATCTAACGAGTATTTCCACATTATTTAAAAGGAATTTTAATTACCATAAATCTAAATACAACTTCTTTAAAAAATGTCGAGTGAAGCTGTTCCAGTGCTCAGTGGGACTTCAGATCCTGAACTCAAGGTGAAGAAATGAGCTTTAAATCATCTAATGCAGAAATCTGAGTTTAAATTATGCACAAAATCAAGTTGCTGCAACGTTATTCTGTCAGCGTTTGAAACTCAAAAGGTTTGTTGAAATGCGTAAATAGGAATTTTAATCTTGCAGCCATCTTGTTAATGAAATGAAATGTCCTTTGAATGAGTTTTTAGATTTGTATACTTGCAGGGATCCTGGATGAGATCCTGGATGAGATCCTGCGCTTCTTCACAACATGTTCACTGCTTCAGCCTGTTGGCTGCTAACAGCAGCTGCTAGCAGCTTAATGAGGACCAAGAGGTGGAAGGTCCCTCTCTAAGGGTAATAAAGTCAGGCCAGCGCTCAGTGATTCACACTGTGGAGGTGGAGGACATTTCTTTGGTTCCTTCTGTCCTGATTGGAGACACACGGTGACACGTCTACAGCTCATCAGTGGAGAGAAAAGGTCTGTGGAGGCTGGAACATGCAGGAGTTGAAGAGCCTCCATGAGTGTCCAGTGCTGGTACCGCTAGTTCTGTCAGCGGACTAGTACCGCTGACCCTGCTGACAGAAGACGTGTCTGAGTTCTGTCTCCTCCTTCATGTTCTGGTTCCTCAGAGCTGCAGGACTTTATGTTGAAACATGAACCTCAGTGAAGGACCAGCAGAAAATAAACCCATCAGCCTGTAAATGTGAAGGATGTGAGTGTTTAAACTCTCCTCAGCTGGCTGTGTTTGGATCCTGGTCGGCTGAGGTCATATTTAGGTTTTCAAGGTCGACTGAACTCAGCGAACCAGCGACGCTTCTTCTCTTCAACATGAATATCTGAGAGCAGGTCCAGGATTCCTGTCGTAGCGCCGATGTGACGTAAGGACACAGAAATATCCGACAGCTGGGAGGCAGCAGCCGGACGCTTTCTGTCTGTAATCCAGAACCAAGGACACACGGATCCGTTTACTGCAGCAGACCTGGTCCTGGTGCCAACGAGGACTAGAGGAGAATAAACACTGCTGCTCTTCACAGCAAACAGGGTCAAACTTCTGGACTTGTTCTGCACAAAGACAGACGGAAAAATCCTTTCCAACACCGCAGAGATTAAGAAAAGAAAAGTTGTGGTAAATGGAGGAACACCATCAGTGGACTCTGCCCACAGGTCCGATTCATGTGGTTTTTGTCATTTTAAACAAGTCCTGAGTAAATCTGAACAGGTCTCCAGTCGCTTCAGGACTCAGTAAAGTTGTAGTTTTGCTTTTTTTTAAAAATAATTTCAGACCCATTTCAAGCTATTCTGCTCCATTCTTGTTCTCATTTTGAACCGTTTATTAAAGCATTTTGGAGGAAATTTCTCATTTTTCACAGAAAATCTTTTTCATTTTACACAATCTTTGGTATTGTGGACAGTTTGGGTGATTTTTAAGTTTTGAGTCACTTTAGGACAAATTTTGGATCACTTGGAATGACCTAAACTAAACTAAAGTTCAGTGTTTACAACCTGGATTCTGATCCGTTACTGCTGAAGGTGAAGAAATGAGGAAAACCAGATGAAAGTGGATGTCTGACAGAGACAGACGCAGCCAGTCTGGGCAACAGAAGCTGTTCCTTCCAGCAGGAGACATGAACACTGATGAAGACCCTGAACAAGGTCAGCACGATGAAGATTTAATCAGACTAAATTATTCCCAGAGCCTGGAGGAGCCTCGGACAGATGCCTCCATCAGAGAGGAGGAGCCAGCAGGGGGCAGCAGCGCTCACGTCTGCTGTTCAGTGGGAAGGACCAGCCTCTGACGACTCACAGCTGCTCTCCAACAGGAAGCCATCACAGGCTCCGCCCCCCACAACAGTGCTGCCCCTAATTGGATGATTCTGGTCCTGATTTCAAACCAACACCTTTCACTTGCATGAGGAACCGTTTTTACCAGATTGTGAGCTAATAATGAATAACCCTACTCTGCTGTGGGTCAACAGGGACTTACAAAAGGTTCAGAACCAGCTCAGACAGCCACTGGGAGCCTAAATCAGCTCAGACAGCCAGTGGGAGCCTGACGATGACATGCACAGCACAAGGGTTGCAGAAGCACTGGGAGCTGTCTATGTGTGTGTGTGTGTGTGTGTGTGTGTGTGTGTGTCCGTGTGTCCATGCAGCTGCTCCACACCGCCTGCAGCCTCACCTCCTGCTAAGAATGTCGGAAAGGCTGTTACAAAAACAAACGCACACTAACACACACACAGACCCAGTAGCAGGGTTGTGTAGCGGGGTTGTGTAGCATGGTTGTATAGCAGTGTTTTGTAGCGTGGTTGTGTAGCAGGGTTGTGTAGCGTGGTTGTGTAGCAGGGTTGTGTAGCAGTGTTGTGTAGCGGGGTTGTGTAGCGTGGTTGTGTAGCAGTGTTATGTAGCGTGGTTGTGTAGCAGGGTTATGTAGCGTGGTTGTGTAGCGTGGTCTTGTAGCGTGGTTGTCTACCGTGGTTGTCTACCGTGGTTGTGTAGCGTGGTTGTGTAGTGGGGTTGTGTAGCAGGGTTGTGTACCGTGGTTGTGTAGCAGGGTTGTGTAGCAGGGTTGTGTAGCGTGGTTTTGTAGCGTGGTTGTGTAGCGGGGTTGTGTAGCGTGGTTGTGAAGCGGGGTTGTGTAGCGTTGCTGTGAAGCGGGGTTGTGTAGCGGGGTTGTGTAGCAGGGTTGTGTAGCGGGGTTGTGTAGCGGGGTTGTGTAGCGTGGTTGTGAAGCGGGGTTGTGTAGCATTGCTGTGAAGCGGGGTTGTGTAGCGGGGTTGTGTAGCGTGGTTGTGTAGTGTGCTTGTGTAGCGTGGTTGTGTAGCAGGGTTGTGTAGTGTGATTGTGTAGCGTGGTTGTGTAGTGTGTTTGTGTAGCGTGGTTGTGTAGCGGGGTTGTGTAGTGTGATTGTGTAGCGTGGTTGTGTAGCGGGGTTGTGTAGTGTGATTGTGTAGCGTGGTTGTGTTGCGGGGTTGTGTAGCGTCCTGCTGGTGAAGGTCAGCTCACAGCAGCCTGCAGGCAAACGCATCATAAAGTGACAGCAGTGAAGCTAAAAGGAGAAAAGAAAGAAAGACGATGAGGTCGGAGACGCATCACCGCAGGCGTGAATACATTAAACATGGCCGCCTCCTCGCCCTGCAGCACGACAAACACTGAATCTGAGGCAGGTAGAGTCGGACTGGAGGAGCTACAGAACCAGAACAGAACCAGAATCAGAGTGAATCCAGTCACAGTTTACTGAAATACTGCAGTTGTGAGGCTCTTATCGGAGGGTTAATGTCATCCTGAACTCAGGATACAGCTAGCCTCGCTTAGCATTAGGCTGGAGCCAACAAGAACCAGCTGACCCGTTCTGTGCACATGGACCAACTGCAGCCTGCAGACTCTCTGGTTCAACTAATCCCAGGTTCAGGAGGATTTATTGTCTGATTATAAGAGGCTGAAGGTTTCTTCAGTTCATAGAATAAATGAATGAGTCTGAGGTCACATAGCTGCTCCATGCTGAGCATGATGGGAGCTCATGGAGGACGCTCACCACAGTGACAGCTTTCAGCTACTTATACTTGAGAATTTATATTTCATGCTAACAAAAGAAGAGACACACAAACTAACACAATGAGACACAGAAGCAGCACAAACAGACGCTGAACGCCTCCAGTGTTGTCCAGAGTTGTGTTTCTGTTGTAATACAGACAGTGAACCACTAGAGGGCGCCGTCAGCCAGAGAATGAAGCTGCTCAGCTTCCATCAGTTCAGTCCTCACTGCTTTCCTCTGCAGGGAAACGTTTGACTTTTCAGTTTAGTTACTTTTCATGTGTTTAAAAAGCTGCTGATGCAGGTTTCTGACTGAACGCAGCTTTTAAAGTTCAGAATGAAGATAAATCATTTTTATATACAATTAGAATCTGGGTGAAGAACTGGTTCTAAAATACGCTCCAGCTGTTGTTATTTGTTCTCTGTACTCGTCCTTCTTCCTGCTCACACTTCCTGCTGCTTCTTTCGTCTGTCTGCAGATGAGCTGAACAGAAGCAGATCTTTACTGACCTCTAGTGGCTGCACTCGCTGCTGCACCGACACCAAAACATGCTCAGGGTTCACCTCACATGACGTTTAAAAGTAGAATTCAGATCTAAAAGCATCAGCAGCTGATTGCAACACAAACAGAACCACAGAACCAGGCTAAGACCCAACACGTCACATGACTACACACACACACACACACACACACACACACACACA